TAGTCGGATGTCATGGGATGAAAATAATAATCATGATTGCAAGTAGGCACCAAGTTATTTATTTATGGTGCGAAAAATGACGCCTATCTTATCTGGTTCATGAGAAAGATCTAGATAAATTTCTTTAAGAAGGTTTTCATTATACCTAGAGAAATGTTTTTCGTTATATTTATGATATATCTATTTTAAATTTAAATATTTCATGGTAACTGTTCTTGATTTCCCAAGTACACTGCAAAAAATAAAAAAGAGAGAATCTATATACCGGGTGTTCACTGTTCATATTAAAGTGTTACAGTTAAATACCACCGAAAATATGCATTTTATTAAAAAAAACATTTTGGCTAAATCCATTTTTTTATAGCTGGCCATAATATGGCCATATCGAGGTGGACTTGTTTTCAATTTGGAACGCCATTTTTTTTACATATTCTTAAAGTTCATAAAAAATAAGAAACTTTTAAAGGAAACATTTTTTTTGATTGGATTTTTACTTATTGAGTAACACCTACTTGAAAATTTTGCTGCGCCATATTATGGTTAGCTATAAAAACGATTTTAACCAAAAAATTTTCCCCAAAAAACTATAAAACTTTCGTCTGAAACGTTTTTTTTTATAAAAGGCGGTATTTAACTGTAACACTTTAATTTGAACACCCGATATAAATAGGCAAAGACAAAATAGTTAAGTACCATTATTCTGTTTGTGAACCGATTTTATTTTTTTAATCTTTATTTAGTAGTTATTGACGAGCTTTGCTATATGAAATCCATTGATCCACAATTAATTATGAATTATGATAGACTAAAAAAATCTGTACCTCAGAACCACATGGACGGATAGAGGATTGCGAAAAACGAAAAAAAAAATTCCCCCGACCCTTTCAACTTCTACCCCTCTTCTTCTGCCATGCCTAAATTATATGGGATAGAACAAACTAATAGCTAGGTCTTATTCCTCGCTTAAAACGATTTAAAACCGCCCAACTCCCCTCTTCTTCTACCCCATCCCAGGTGAGGTCGATATATAGAACCGCTAGATTTAGAAAAATGAACTTCGGGTATTGAATTGATTGGACTTTGAGGACGAAAAAATTTAATATACAGGGTGACCCATTAGTGTGAAAAAGTCCAATATCTCCGCCATTATTAGAGATATAAAAAACATATTTTCACAGAAGGGTAGACATATTTGAAAATTATTTTTGAATATACATGGTGTTTAATAACTTCCCTCTGGAACCAACTTATGTTCTTTTTAATGGAACACCCTGTATTTTATTTTATATTTGAATTGCCCTTGAATTTTCCCATTCTAAAAATATAAATTATTATTGGTTTATACAGGGTATTTTGCAGGATATAATCAGTTTTGTATGAAAATCGTATTGAATTCAATGACCTATATCATGCAAAAGAAACCATTGATAACCAATTTTTTTTTCTACCACAATTTTTCCATCATTGTCAAATTTTATCTAGGGTGAGTCAAAACACAAGTACATAATTTTCTCAATTTTTTTAAATGGTTCACCCTGTATTTTATATCATCGTTCAAAAGTATCCTAATTATACTTCCCTATACCAAAAGTGAATAGTTTTTAGAGATTTTTAAATTTTAGTGGTAAAAACGATTTAATGTTAGATAAAGAGTTGCTACTGTTATTTTTTTTGTAAATGTTTTTTATAGGATACTAAACGTTTAGAACAGTGGCAGCATATACATCGTTCCTAGTGCCGATAAAGCACTTTCTAGAGATGATGCTGTTTTATACTGTTTAGAAGATTTTATCAAATATTATGAGACTATTTTTACTGATGGTACTGTTAGCAAAATAAAAAGGGGAAAGCTGAAATTAAAGGATGAGGTAATACCATGTACTTTCCCAAATCTCCCTTTATACTTGTATAAATAAAACAATAAAAAATCTGTTAATTGTGTTTTATTTTACTCTTAAAACTATATATTGTTTCAATTCAAAAAAAAAAAAAAAAAAAAAAATGCCACAAAATTGTACTTATCAAATTTCAGTATTTAAGAAACCTTTTTGAATTTGGTCATACATACCTAATTTGTATTTTATATAGATAAAATTAAATAATTTATCAATTAAAACATGCAAGACTTATTTAGAAATAAATACAACAGTATGTTTTGTGCTTTATTTAGCTATAAATAAGTTCATTTTTATTATTTTGATAAAATTATGTATAATTCCCATAAGAAGCCATGTATTTTAAACACCGTATGCAGTACCAGCGCCATGCGGTTAATTATAGAAACTCAATTAGCATGCGTTTTTTGGGACCGTATTTTGAGTATGCCGATTCGCCTCTTTATCTCTAGTCTTCATAGATACATTACAGTACGAAGCGGGCAGCTGTCACCTCCAACGAATCATGACGCTGACAGACAAAGATAGTAATAGAGAAAAAATGGGCTAAAAGCTTTAAAAATTTCTTTGGATGCCTCCAAATTAATATTTCAAAATTACCCATAAGAAATTGTGAAAACTATTTTTGAACCCCAAAGAGAAAAGAAATTTAATGAAAAATAAAATAAATTCAGTCCCAAAATGGGATTGAAACCCACCTATTCGTGTTTTACGTACACATCCTATATCAACTCCGGATTTAGAGTTGTTAATTTAAATACAAGATTCGAATCCAACACGGTGATAGCAAATCTATGTTTCGTTCTAATTTTACATTAATTTACACTCTCTCACTCACTCCAAAGGTATGTTTCGTTGGTGGATTATCACGACACTCTTCCTGAACGATTTTCCTATATTTATTTGTATAATTATGCAATTATTTATTACAAATACTACAACCATGAATAATGAATTAAAGAAACTACATCTCTACAATATATGGAACTAATTTTCCAATAAATAACCCTGTTTCTAAGAGGAAAAGAGAAAGACGTAGGCACTTATAAATATTTTATGAAGGGCATTACTCTCCTTGGTGAATGTTGTACACACCATCACCGTCATACATAGTCATACATCTGACTTGACGGGTCTCGGTATTTATTTTACAGGTATTATTTACTAGTAATCCATTCATGGTATTTTACCATTACGAAGCGCACCCAATGAATACTAATAGGGAGAAATGTGAGAAATTACAAACAAAAGTTATGCCTTATGGACGAGGTCGTTGATCCAAAACAGATCATTGGAAATTGCAAGTTTAATATTTTGTTATACTTTTTCCATTCAAGAATTTCTAAAATACGTGAACGTTTCATGGTATTTTTTTAAATTATAATATAAAAGAACAATCTGAAAATATTAAATAGATTTTTTTTACACCTACATGGATATTAGCTTATCTACGCACGTACTACAAAACGAAAATGTATGCCATTACGTTTTTAAGAGCTTAAGTGTCAGTTTTGTCAAATACGTCAGTTTTAACGCTTTCGGAAATTTATAAAACTATAATGTGTGCTGTCCCATTATTCCAAAAGTACTTTGTATGTATGCATGACAATCTGTAACAAAGATTTAATTTTTACTGGATCCACAACTGTGTGTACTAAGAATGATAGCGTTAAACTACCTTTATCCGACGACAGTTTGTACTAGTGTGAAAGGTGAAAGATCCGAAAGATGTTTTGTTTTTATATTCTCGTAAAATGGCAAGTGTCGAAAGCAAATTTGTCCCCCGCTATTATTGTCACATTTGACGAATAAACATTTTGCTAAAGTCATATCAAATTTTAATTTTCTTTGGATATTTCTATATATCTGGCTAAAATACTTTCATCAGATACTACATTTATTCGATACATTGTGCGGGGCCAGAAATATCCAAAGAAAATTAAAATTTGATATGACTTTAGCAAAATCTTTATTCGTCAAATGTGACAATAATAATTTCAAAGTCATAATGATATAAAATAAGTGAACTATATAAAATAAAGCAATGTAGATCTCAATCGTATCTACCGGCCTAACCTGGGTTTTACGGAAACTCACATTGTGTGTGCAGTCTTTAATACATTTGAATAATGCGTGTACACACAATTTCACACGTTTTAAATTTTATTGTGGAAGAAAAATCACAAGTCACACGTGAAATATGCATATGTTACCTACATGAAAAAAAAAAAAAAAAGAACAATGGGTGAACTCATAATGGGCAAAACAAACGGTACCTGCTTGTATAATGTTTGTTTATTAATATTTTCTTAATGTGTAAAGTATCTACCGGATATAATTAAAATATCAGATACTTCCCATTCGAAGATTATTATGTCTTCTTCTGCTTATCTTATAAGGTTTGGACCGTGTAAATTCGGACACATTGATTGAATAACCACTTTACTCCATTCAAATATGGATTCAACCTCGAAATGAAAGATAATAAACTGTAAATTTATATAAATTTTTGTGTTGACATTTTATAAGTTGGCTCAAAAGTCTCATAGAATGGGCGTCCTATTTTTTTTATTTACCAGTCGATACAGTAAAGCAAGTACAACAAAATTAGCTATAAACATGTTTTTTTCAGTTATTTTCTTAAGAGCCCCCTACTTGTCCGTTATACTGGTCACAAGCTAAGGGGCGCAACCCTGATTTTCTGCGAATGGTCGGGCATTTCATTTTGTAGTATCCAGCCCCATTTCTGGTGTTCTTAAGCATTCCCTAACAAATGTATATCTGGTAATAGACACGAGTGATTTGCTGTGGAGCTGCTGAAGAAAAATAATACATTTTTATACCTATAATAAATACATCAGTAATTAATTTGATTACTTGCTAAACCTGATGAAATTCCTCTAAATTATATGTGTAAGACGAGGTTTAGTACTGAAACTGTTAGAATTGTTAGAATTTTCACACTCGCATAAGAGAAAATCCCATGCATTTTCATGCGTACTTAGGTATTTTAGTCATGGCTTCTATATATTTCTTATGTAATGAATGAAGAAATAATTTATTGGGAAAATGTTATTTTTAATTGTGGTTTTATTGTTGTTACAGAACTTTGCAGTGCGGAATCCCTACCTGAAGTGGAGATAATCAGTCTCTTAGAAGAGCAGATACCGAAATATAGGCTCAGGGCTGATACTCTTACTAAATTCGGAGGTAAGTTTTTGTTAAGATTTTTTTTTAATATTTTTAATTTTTCTTGAAAATTTTGTTATTCAATACATTGTTCAAATAACACTATACAGATGAACCAGCAGGCACTCTTCGCGTAAAAAAAATAAGTATGCCGACAGCATCCTAAGCAAGAGATTCGCCATATTCTCCGGATGCTCAACGTCAGTCGTGTAGCATATTTCATACAGATCAAAGTTGGTGCATATGCAGCAGAATTATGATTGAAGCCGACGAAACCTCACTTACTAAGATCAACGGATTTCTTATCGAGAGCGCCTGCTGGTTCATCTTTATGCTGTGGTTTAAACTTTCTATTACTCGTTCTACTATCATTCCATTAATTTTTTATAGCACCCAGCCTAATATTTATTATTTAATATTATTTTTAAATTGGTCACATTTGAGGAAAGGAATATTTTTTCCTTTAGTAATTGCCCGTCTGGTTATTATTCCGCCTCGTTCTAGTGGACTAACCTTGTCAGCTTTGATTTTCCTTCCTAAGTGCAGTTATAGTTTCCATTTTTGACTAGTTTATTACCTACTCATTCTTAACCATCTTTCATGCATACTAGTGAAAGTAAAACTCATCAGGCAGATTTCATTACACTAAAGTCGAGATCGTCTAATGCTTGCTGATGAGTCCTAATAAGGACGAAATCGGTCCAAGTATGACTTTCTTCTTAGGAAGCAAAATCAAGTTAGAGTGTTGAAAATTATTTTCTATCTCTGCTATTCATCTTTTGATATAATGCATTTCCTGTTGCGGTATTAGCCAAGGTAGTAGTTATTTTCAGGAGAGAAACGGGCGCTTGACTTTGCTGTAACACGGACTTGATTTTTTCTTTTCCTTCATCATTTATTAATATTTATTTATTTAATTAATTAGTGACAGCGACGGCTATTTCAATTATAGTATTCTTTCAATTTCAATTTTAGAGCATAATTATAAAATAATGACTGACTTGACTGACCAGGTTTCGATATTTTATTATTTTATCGCTACACACCTAATTCAAAATACATACACCAAATGCCTACTTATACCTACACTTTTTTAGGGTGGCTGTATCTCGGGAACCGTTTATCTATAAAAAAAACTTCTTAATTTTTTTTTACAAAATGTTTAAGAAAATAATTTAAAATATTTTTAACTTTGTAACTAGCCGTTATGTCGCGCGATATACAGGGTGTTCCGCATAAGTACCGACACAGGACAGGTGCGTGTTGGGCACCCCTGAATATGATGATTTAATGCAATTTACCTATATACCAAATTGTACCCCTAAGGAGTTACAGAAGCCTATAGTGGGGCCATAAATTTCGAAAAAATGTAATATGTCTTCAACCGTTTAACTTAAAAAAATCTATATTTTAATTGTGTTCTCATTTAAATCGATTTAATTGAGATATGCATGGCCAACTAAAGTTTCAAGTGATTTTTGTATTAACATTGTTATAATGCATTGATTTATTTTTTCTCGTTTTTCTCGAAAAATATTATGTTTATTAAAAAATAAAAAGTGTAAAAAAGTTTTAAAATAAAATTTTGCATAAAATGAAATTAAAATTTTAAAAATCGGCCGATGGATAAAAAAGTTATGTATAGGTAAAAGGGTGGGTTACCCCAAAAAAAACCTATTAAAATATTTCAATTAATTCTTACTCACCCTCAAATTAAGACTCATGAAGCGCCTAAACATTTTACTAAACGGTTGCAGAGATATTAATTTTTTTCGAAATTAATGGCCCCACTTTAGGCTTCCATAACTTCTTAGGGGTACATCTTGGTACAGAGATAAATTGGGCTAAACATTATATTTTGGGGTGCCTAACATGCACTTGTTCTGTGTCGGAACTTATGCGGAACATCCTGTATAATCATTTACATTGTTTTTCATTAAAAATCTATATTATTTTAAACCTGGCTCTCAAAAAATAGTAGTTTGTGCAACAAGAGTTTGAGCACGATGTCGTAGGCAGAGTACGAACGATCTACTCGAATTGTATAGTATATTTTTTCTGCGACCTACTAACAAAAATTCTACAAATTTTAAAAATCAATTTAGAGGTTATTTGGATAAAATAATTATTTTAAAAATAATTGATGATCGTTACTAAATTTATAAAATAAAAGCTATTTATGCAACCAGTTATGAAATGCCTTATTTTATGTAACTAGTAAATATTTGCGCGACAAGCAGAGCAACACTACATTAATATTGTAAACCAAACATGTAAAAAGAAGAAAACGATATTAATAAAAACCTACCATGTTTATTAGTCCAGTTCGTTTAATAAAATTTTAGATTCAAAATGTCTGATACATTTGGATTATAAGTATTACATAACATTTTTCGTAATCATCTATTATTGAGGAATTCAAAAATGAAAAGAAGGATGCGTTTTTTTTTTTAATTGGTGTCATCGGCATCAACTACTAAGGTTATTAGCCTCGTGTTCTGTGTAGACTTTGTTACTATTTCCTAGCGCCACTTTGAGAACAGCACTGTTAATGGTTGAGTGAGGAATCCTACCTATGCATTATAATTATTAATATTTAATTTTATTAACTTAAATAAAAATCCTGCAACCGGCGGGATTCTAACCTGAGACCCTTCAATCTCAAAGTCTTGACTCTAACCACTGAGCTAACCCACCCCCCAAATATGTAATATTTAAAAAAAATCGATGACATCATGTACACGAAAGTGGTGACGTCATTGTAAGAAGCGCAGTTGAAAATAAAAATTGACCTGTGAAAGCATTTTGTTAAAATATTGTTAGACAGAAAAATATTGAATTTATTCCAACCTATACGTCCTCACTTACTTATTACGAAAGTTAATATTATCATGGACATTGATAGTTTTTTCATTTATTCATTTTCTAGTTAGATTCCAACGATCTGTCAAACAATCTGCTGGAGGGCAGGGCTGATATATTTAAGGGGGTTAATCTTCTATCTTGTACACTATTTTTATTCGAAATAGTAGTCGCCAAGCCTGCCAGCTAATTTTCTTAAAATTAATTTTTCATTGTGTTCGACATACAATGGACAGTTTCTTAGGGATAAAATATTTATGATTTCACGCGTAGCAGATAGAATACATCGTATGGAGAACCTCTTAAATATACTAACCCTTCGGTAGTTATTTTGTTTGGAATGCCTAATACAAACAACAAATCCACAAATGCCGAAACGTCTTAAATCTCGAAGTTGGACAACATATTTGACACTACCTTATTTTGGATTACTTAACATCGCATGTTTTTCGAATTCAAAATAAGTTTATTTCCCTTTCCACATTGTACTCTGTGATTATTATAATTTTATATTTTATGTATTAGTATAATTAAAATATGCCCAATAAACTTTGTCAGGACTTGAGAATGTGATCTGTTTGAATGACATGAATTACCAATTACTACTCAAGTCTAGTAAAGTTATGGAATTATTAACTATTGAGAGATTTAACAAGCGTTCTTGCAACCGGAGAGTATTAGCATGCATATAAACGTTTTAAACCTATACAATAATATTGTATACCATAATTTTATTGATTCACCAATGAAATTAATAATTATTGAGTAAATACAAATCTCAGGAGTACCACAAGGATGTCATCTTGGGCCGTTACTCTTTAACCATTATGTCAGTAAATTCGCGAAATTTATCATGTACCCTGACGATCTAAAAATTTATCATTTTATAACTTACTTGATAGGATTTTGTTTCAGCAAGATCTAGATAGATTTTGCGATTATTGTAGAAAACATAATTTGTTTTTGAATGCATCTAAGTGTATTTATATATATTTTACTCGAAGTAACACTTATTTTCATAACAGTTACATCATTAATGAATCTACACTTCAAGCAGTGGATAAAGTAAAGAACTTGGGTATATTTCTCGACTCCAAATTATTATTTGATGAGCATATATGTATATTATATCACTAGTAAAGCAAATAAAGCATTAGGCTTCATTTTAAGAACAAGTTACGAATTTAAAAATCCTCATACAATCATATATGGCTTACGTTAATAGTGTACTCATGTTTGGATCAATAATTTGGAATCCTTTTTACTTAGTATATATAGATAAGTTACAATCTGTTTAGAATAAATTTATTTCTTATTGCCATAAAAAATATTAAATTTAAATAAGAGAAAACAAACTTTTATCGAATTTAAATTTAATCAATCTAGACAAATTTCTGATATAATGTTTATAACAGAATATTTAATCGTCAAATAGACTGCATTGATATAAATAATTTCTTGCTGATAGTTTTTAGTCTTTATTTTTGAGTAGGTATTATTGTAAATGATATGAATATTGTATAACTTTGTACTATTATTGTATAATCTGGTGGACACTTCTTTGGGCTAGTCCTGTCTGTGTCCTGAATAAAAAAAATAAAAAGAAAAAAAAATAAATGTCTACTTTTTAAACTATAATGAAATTTCTTTCACAGTTCGGACTGTAGTTGTGTAATGTAATATACTGTCGTGAGATCGCCTGAAGCCGACTCTGTTCTGTGTTTACTACAGCGATATGAAGTCTAGCGCTGGCCATATCGAGACTCAAGAAACCGACTGGAATGTTTTCTATCACAATATGACGCGTGGAGGATAATTTCCAGATTTTCTAGACTGAGCTTCTAGTCAGAGTTGGTTCTTTCTAGACTGTTTTATTTTTGTATAAATAACGCGACTTTGTTGGTAGACGTTAAGATTCAATAAATTGTAATAAATAAACTGTTCTTAATAAATAAACTATTTTAAAATCGTTACAATACTATTAAATTGTGGAAGAAATGGGCCAAATTGTGAAAAAGTTACTTTTAACAACTATGTCGCCAGGATTTCTATTTGTCGAAATAGCAGATAATCTGCTAATTTGTCTCATATTGTAAAGTACCATATTCATTGGGCGTTGTTAGGAAAGCTTTATAGATCGAGTGAACAGTTTCGAAAAA